AAACTTCCGCCACAGCCTCGTGCAGTACTACTGGTAAAGAAGACTGAATGCAAACATGTAACAATGTAAAGACACTGCATAGTCTTGCCAATGATGAGAACACGTAGACAAACTGTGTTTGTTTCTCCATGTTTCTCCTAATCACCAATCTGCTGATGTAGCACTCAACAGTGGCAAATGGTCAGGCAGTGGTATATCGTCTTGCACTCACACCAGCAAGCCTCACGTCGACACTGTTCCAGCTTGCATCGCAGCTGCCAGACTGACCTTGGTGAATTGGATTCCTATGACTGACATGATTCCTCATTTCACATATTTCACAGATCAAGTAAATTCAAGTAGAATCCAATGCCGCTCAATTGTCAGGAAAGCTGCTGGCGCCCTGCAGACTGCGGTCTTAGGTTCCGCTCATCCTGGGCACACAAGCACTTTGAACTGGTATTTTCGCCTCTAAGGCTTTTCACGATTCAAAGATGTTCAAAGACTCTATGGATCTACTGATGGCCGTAGAATGTCACAGAAAAGGAGTTCTTTTCTGATCTGAGATTAAACTTCCAGAAATTGTGCACAGTGGAAACGCGACAGGCCAGGGAGTCCTTTGCAAGCGGACCAAAGCTGAAAGCCTTGGCAGGGAAGCAGAGTGCAAGCATTTCTGAGCACTAAGAAGGGTATTAAGCACGCTTCAGCACTGAATATATCAGTTCTTATCTTTGTAGGCTTGGATTAGATATATCATGAAATATTGTGCATGATATTTAATCATATTTAATCTATATATGTATATTATGTATATATATATATACAATATAGTAATATGATGTAATATAGTAATATGTACTAATTTATTTCACAACATTGGTGGACAAGTCTCTCTCAGGAGTGCACGGGAGGCATTCACAGCAGCCAGGCCCATGCCATCCGAAGTGCAGGTCTTGGGCGAATCTGGAAGAGCTAAGGACCGGGATTGACCGAGATGACCGGATTTCCATGACTCGGAATCATGTGCAATGCTCAAACCTTGAAATGTTGCAATAGACGTCAAATGATGTCAATCAGTAAGCCCTCAGTAAGCTACCCTAAGCGCTAAAAGCGCAATCGTAGAGATCTGGTCTGCGGGATGAGATTGGCAGAGGATCTCCCTTGCTTGTTCAATGCAGAACTTGAGGTTGAGCAAAGCAGAAACTGAGCACAGCTGCATTCACACAAGACCATGGCCATTGGCTTCCCGGTGGTGCAGCATGGAAACTGTCGCAAATAAAATGTGTTCAGAGTTTTTGTGCACTTTTCCGCGGCGCTGGAGCGCTTGTAGCACCTTGGGTCTTACAAAGGCCAAGGTGTGAAATCATGTGAAGCTCATGTTGAATTTGTCAGTTGCCAGAACTTGGCAGAAGTTGGTGCCTCAGCTAGCTTCCTGTAGTTGAAGCAGCTCTTCTGCCTGAGGCCAAAGGATGCAGCAGATTTTTTTTGGGTCTCTAGATGTCTCTAGGCCTGATCCAGTCCAGCCTCTCTAAAGACGGCCTTGCATTCAGCCATTGCGGCCTCCCGAGAATTCACAACACAGCTCAATGCTGCGCTTGTGGGATGCCGCATGAAGTCTTTCCACCGAAAAAGGAGCCACACCTCAAATTCACTCACACGGTCTTTCAGCGCTTCTTCTAGCGCCTGGTGAAGGTGTACTTTTCCATGGCAGGCCATCCATATTTAGTGCATGGACGCTGCAGGGGAAGACCTGGTTCAGATATTCAAAATGATAAAACATATAAAACACAATCGGGGACTTTGATGGATTTTGAGAAAGCGATTAGACCACAAGCACATCCCTCTCCAGTGCCTCAGGAGTCTGAAGATCTCCCAAGTCTAGGTCTTCTGGCGAAAACCATGGCCTTTGAATCACAGTTTCCACAAGACTGTTTTTTATCAGCATTTACAGTCATGTTTCAAGTGGAACACAAATCAAAGATCTGCTATGCAACAACATGTAACAACTACATATAGTTACAGAAATGTCTCAAGACATGTCATAGCGCTCCGAGATCTCAGCTGCGGATCTGGTACAGCTACAGCATTCTGCTCGTCCAGCCGCTGGATCTGTCAGGCCAAGTCCAACTTGGAACATCTTGGAACTATATCCTTCCATATCCTTCCATATCCTTCCATATCCTTCCATATCCTTCCATATCCTTCCATCATCCTACATCTTCCCTCAACATTTCTGCCATGTCAGGTTTGCAACGGCCAAGTATCATTTCTGTTGTCATTTCTGTTCAGTTCCCGCCTCACGATCCAAGTCTGGAAGTCGACTGCGCTTGCTGTCCAGGGCCACCAGCTTTGGGCAGTGCTGTCTCACCAATCGCTGATACCTCAGGAGCTTCCATATGGATCAGATTGCGCGATCGCCTTCTAGAAGGATTGCAAAGTGATGATGTCCGAAAAAAAATAGGCACTTATAATTTATAATGTTTTTCCCTAAATGGTGGTACCCCCCAATTCATCCATTTTAGGAATTTCCATTATAAACCATCCAGCTATTGGGGTACCCCCCCCATTTTAGGATACGGGGATGGGCTGAGTTGGAAACTCAGGCAACGAGCACACCGGACATGACTCGGAGTTGTCCTCCAAGAGGGGCACAAACAAATAGAAATGGGAAATTATGGAAATTCATTGATCAAATCATTTATCAATCTATGTATCAATTCATCTATCAATTCATCTATCAATTCATCTATCAATTCATCTATCATGTATCAAGTTTTATGATGTCAATGCATAAATTCAACCTTGATGCACACACTGTACAGGGCTGCTGGTACAGCCCGCTCCACATTCTGGAAGGCAAGGTGCCGCAGCGAACGTGCGGATTTCAGACCTCCAAAACATCAGCACTACCAACATCTAAAAGTTGTATGTGTGTATATATATATATTTAATATAATATAATATAATATAATTTAATATAATTTAATTTAATATAATGTAATATATTACATTATATTATTATATATATTACATGGCTATGCCTATCTATAAATATCATTGATACAAATCATGAGCCTGCAAACTACTGCACCGTTCTGACACATGCTGATGATTGCTGATGCTTCGCAAATCAACACCAAATCCAGAGAGCCTTCCAGGTCTTGTAGCTTTGAGATCGGATTTGCCTTCAGCATGAGCCGCTCCAGCTTGGGTGCTCCACTAAGATCATTGACCTTTCAGGAGTTCGAGGATTCTGACGTTTCTTTATCGGGTTCTGAGAACATTATGTCACAAGTAAACTCTATGAGCTGAATTGAAGTTTATCAGAAGGCCTTCGCAATCTTGTTGGAGGACAGATCTACCTTGCGTTCGCAAATTCCGTTTGAGAATCTTCATGAAAAGATATGAAAGATGTTTAGTGATGTTTAATACAATGTTGAAAGATGTTGAAAGATGTTGAAAGGAATCCATGGGTCCGTGGGGATTCAACAATCGCTGGTTGATGCTCTGTAAAAGTCACAGTCTTGAAGTCTTGGCTGTGATGATTTCAGGACCTAGCTGCTTAGCTTGAAAATGTTTGAAATTTCAAGGATTAAAATTACTTCGACCCTGCCAAGACACTGAAACAAGCTGGCTCAAGCCATCCAAATTCTCCATGCCTTGTGAAAGCTTCGAAGAGGCACTATTGATTTCGCATCCGACATCATCTCCACAAGTACGGGCGCTATACCTGTTATTACCTGTTTAAGCCTGGGGATCTTGCGCACGATTTGGTTCTTCGAGAGATCCAGCCATCGCAAGTTGCAGCCTAAGCATGAAGCCCATGAAAAACCGCAAAGTCAATCAAAATCATTGTATTCTAATCTGACATCTGACTATCTGAACGCTGAGTCCAATACATTTGTTCAACTCCTCTATTCTGGTGATGGAACCTAGGCTGGATCGATCAAAACATGTGTCAGACGACACTCTCCACATCGACCTTGCATGGGTTGAATGGCTAAATTAGATAAAACTCAATCAGGCTGTGCAATACACGCCCAAGGGACATGTACCCTTGTGAAATAATGTGAAATATCTTCTATAAGGTCTTCAAGGTCATGGAGTTGATTCCCTGTTCACAGCTATGTCAAACGGCGAATCCAAAGTGACCCTCGAGAGCGCCGCTTGCGGCAAACGAAACTACGTAAGGAGGACAGATAGGACAGCTGTATGAATGCTAAACCGAGCTCGGAGTGCACAAGACTTACTTTGCCTTTCGGATCCTTTCGGGTTTGCAGTAAAACAACTGAAACAAAAGGCATCCAGAATCCAAAGGCTATATGCAGGAATACAATGGAATACACATCAAAAATCATGTGTACAACAATATATAAAGAAAGACATTTCCAATGTACATAGAGTATAATCCATTATAATCCCATGAACTGATTCGACGCAATGACATGCAAAGTCTTCGCGCCCAGCAGCGATTGCTCAGGATTGCTTGAAAGACACTCTCCTGGAGAATCTGGAGGTGTTGGACAATCGGAAATACCCAACGATGCTAGAAAATGCTAGACACGCAAGTGGCATCGCAATGAAGATGTGCCCATAGAATGGCCCGTAGAACCTCATCAAACTCGCCAGTGGCATGCTTGATGAACTCCACCGTCAAGGGAGGCATGTTCTTTTTGAGCCACACAGCTCAATACAATCTGAAGTCTTCACATCTCAGAGTCTCGTCGTCAAAACGAGAAACAGTTTCGCACAGGAAAGAAACAGAAGCTGCTCAAGTCCAAGTGTGAGGGTGGAAGAAATGATCGCTAATATCCCTACAATTCCCTTCATATCCCTTCACTTATCACTGCTACAGAAGCCTCCAATCTGCATCTCAGATTCGATGCAAAGATTGCAGAAGGGCAATTCAAAGGCGAAATCAGTAAGGAAAGTGCTCGACGTTTTCTCGCGCATCCAACGTGCTAGAGTCACATTGGCTGTATGAAGGACTTCGGGCGAACTCTGGTGTGTGCGAGTCCGACTTAGCCTTGAATGCAATTTTCGGATGTGGTCACGAGATGGTCCTCATATCTCTATAGAGTCTCTATACATCTCTATGCATTTTCTGAGAAAACATCCTCTGCATCATTCACCTAGTTTCTAGCAAAGAAAAATTGCTGAGGCAAGAACTGAGCACAATGCTCTCGCAATGCTCGAATGCCGCTTGGCATGTCCTTTTCACATCTTTTCACATTTTTTCACTACCAGTCCTTCAGTCCATACTGCAAAGATTGAAGCGTCACCAATCCAGTTTGGAATTGAGGCGGTCAAAGGCATGTGGATTAGATACGAATAGATACGTCTTGGCCAATGCACTGTGCAAAGAACAGGCAAGTTTCATAGAAGCTGCGACATTCCGGTGCTACCTTCTCCAGCAGCTATAACTTTGTGTCCCAAATGAACCAAATAAATAAACAGTCCTCGTTAGGATGCAGATAAAGTCGAAGCATGGATTCTGCCCTGAGAGCCTCAGAGGTTGAAGCAGGTTGCACTGAACACTCGAGGAATCGCTTCTTTCAGCGCTCTTCGTTTCAGGATGTCCGCCTTGCAGGAGGGTGCCTATGCAGATCTGTCGTCAACAAGAGAGGGTTCAACTGGTTCAAGTGTCGGAACCTTTCTGATCTGACTGAGCCAACCAAGCAGCAGGGAGAGCGAACATGACGTGTATGGACTGTATGGATTCATAATATGTAGTGAATGTAGTGAATTTGTCGTGATAATAATATATATATATATTATGTATGATTGAATATGTAATATATGCAATACACATGCTTCTCTGATGGTCCAACCATTTCAGCAAGCAACCCCTTTATATAAGTATATCATACAGCACACTGGTAAACTGACGCCCTACTTGCTACTCTATCCTTCAATACACACGGACTACACACAAACTGGTCGCAGCCCAAGCCATGTTGGAATACGTATCGATCTAGATTTAGTCGTGCCACAAAGAAACCTTCAAACCAAGTGTCAGGTTCACTGTGCAAATGCAAAATGAATCAAAATCATGCAAATGCAGTGCTTTGCATCTTGTGTGGTTCCAAACGGTTCCAGATGATCTTGTCTTGGCTGCAGGCTCTGCTGCGGTGGGCCGATGTTTCCTTGCAGGCCTTGAAAGTTCCAGATTGCAAGGCACGAAGTTTGCTGCACTCAAAACCATGTGATATGATGGAATATTGATGGGGTTATAAAGGGATATTACTGGGATATAAATGATATAATATGTGTATATATATATACACATATACAGTTATATATATTTTATATTATATTATATATATACATTCATTTCAACTCATGCGGTTGGTTGGAAAGGCATCTTTTCATCAATTTGCAAATCACATTGACTCCCCTTGGATGGACTGGGCATTCAATTCAGCCAGCCGTCGCAGGGCACACTGCTCAAACGCAGTGAAACGTTCGCTTGGCAAGACTTTGTTGCACAAATACGTTGGATTGAAAAATGCTGAATGGCAAATCATTTCTCGACCCTCTCGATGTCTCTGGCAGCGTTGAAATGCTGAATGCAAGAATCTGAGACGGAGAAGCGTCAACTACAGAAAGGAACCTCAGCCGAGTCTGTTTTCTCTCCCAGCAAGCATGCTGTGCTATACCAAATCACTCCAATTGAGTTCGCACTCGATACTGCAGAGTTGAAAGGTATCAAGAAGTCAGGATGCCACAAATTGGCCAAAGCACTGAGTCTGCCTGGAGGCAGCATCCATCCTTGTCGACTGAAGCACGTCCAAAAAACGAGCTCTGCCTCTGAGGTCAATGTGGCAGCGACCATGACAACAAATGAGATGAACAGCGATTTGCCCAGCCCAATTCAGATCCCGCCATATCCATGGCTTACCATGTCCCACCATGTCCCACCATGGCCCACCAATCAGGCCGCAGTTGCTGGTAGAGATGACTCGAGTGGATCGGCAACAGGGTCCACTTTGGAGGTCCCAGAGATGGAGGCGTAGGCGTCCTACGGGGCTGGATGTGTATCAGCACGGCTGAAATCCATGACCCACAAATACCCACAAAGCCACACTTCAGAAATGCAGGAATGCACAGAACTTCAAAATCATTCCAACTTTGGGCTAAATAAATTATTCACATAACTATATAATATACGTAATATTATATATATACGTATATTTTATGAATACTTAAAGTGTCAGGTAGCACACAATGGTACGCCACAACGCACGTGAGCTCACCTGACTCTGGCTGGAAGAACTAACCTCAGCTGACAAACTGAGCACCATTGCATGCCATTGCCGTCAGTTGCGTGCAAGGCACCGATCTCTGGGAGGTTTGTTGGGCGTTTGTCGCACCTTTCGTCAAATGCTTCAGACTGGAATGTGCGGAGGTATGCAAATAAAATGGATTCCAATGGTATTACAATGATATGGATTCCAATGATAGTCCCTATACCCTAAAGAATGTTGGCATTCCAATGAGCTAAGAGGTCTCAAGATTCAAATCGTATGATGAGTATGATGAGTGGCATTGGTGAACCCAGCCTCTCTGTGATGAGCTGCTGCTGTCCTACAGTGGGGAAGCAAGTTAAGCGATATAATGGTCAGCTCACCCATAGTTAATTCAGATCATTTGCCACGGGTTTGCATTGTTTTCTTTAGATGAAGATGATATCTGATGATGAAAACAATAAGCATTGACGATGAACATGATGATGGCCATCAGGATGATAGTAGAAAATACAGGTTTCCGCTTGGAGTCGAGTGTTAAAACGACCCAAACGATGGACCCAAAAAAACAAAATGTCCTGAAAGTCCATCTTCTCTGCATCCGGGAGCGTCGCGTCCGCGCCCTTCCTTTGGAATTGCCAGCTTTCTTGTCAAGCAACTGTTGAAACCCTGCTGTGAAAAGATAATCAGATCTAGAAGACATCCAAGGAAAGGTGCATCAATAACATGAACAAAATAGAAATCCTCTATATATTTAACATATATGATACATATCATATGCAACTACATATATTTAAGTAGCATTAAATGAAAACATCTGCTTTTTGCCAAAGATCGTTAGACCAGTGCCCCGCGCCGCAACACGCTCCAAAGGATCCTCCTGAGATGCGCTTGGCAAGGCATCTCAGGAATGCAATCTGAGTCCTACGAGTCCTACCAAGATCTACCAAGAAATATCACCAGTTGTCACCCAACAAGTGGTCATTCTACGTTCCCTTGAAGCCACCAAACCCCAAGCCCACAAGCTCACAAGGCCACAGGCATGGTTCACAGGTTTTACATCGAACTAGAGCCACTTAACATCACTTAACCCCTGGATGCTGCAGAGTTGCAACAAATTCACTCAACATGTTTCGCCACTTCACGTAAAGGGAGCATAATTCAACACTGAGTGTCTGCCACTCGCGAGACGTCAGCAGCATTGGCAGTTGACATGGCATTCATGCGGACCTCCAAGGCTGCAACAGAAAACTGGAAACAAGTGTGTCCAGTGGCTTTGCGGATGCCAAACATCGCCTCCGACTCCTGATTGGCTGTCACCACTGGAGGCTCAGCTCCTTCAAGAACAGTGACAGAAGTCAGCATTGCTCCAAGAAAGGTCCAGGTCATACGTGATTAATTACAGTATATCCTAGTATATACTCATTTGCCTGAATCTGTTGGTCTCTTGCAGGGACAGGGATGTTTGAAGATACAAAATATGGTCAATGGTGAAGCTGTGCAGAAATGGAAGGCCCGTTGCCGAAGCAGTTGCCCAAAGTTTCCGCAAAACAGCGCACCTCTCTCTGCTTCGGCTTCTGCCTCTGCACGCTGGATGAGACCTCTTGCGGAGTTGTCTGGCTTCTTGCTGAGTTGTTGCCTCAGTTACCAAGTTTACCCGGCGCAGCAAGCGCCAATCTCTATCTAGTTGTGTATATCAACTATTAAATGCAATTTATCTAATTCTTAAGTATATTTTTTGTTACAGATGTAGATAGTAATGACTATACATGACATACTGATATCATCATGATAACATCATTATAACATCATGATCTATTAGGATTAATTATGCAACTTGCCACGACTAAGGCGCTGGCCATGTATGGTCCAACTCATCTTGCGCCTCTCTGGCCGCGCTGCCTGAGAAGCGGCTCATGTTGGCTGCTGCATCAAGTGCCTTGGAGACGAACCAAACGAAGCCAGAATTTCTGTGGAAATGGGCAAACTATGGAATAGTTATACATGCTATAATATGTTATAATCTATCTGCTGTCTATATTATATATGTATACATATATTCATATTCACATATAATCATATATTTATAATTATATAGATTCTATTGTGACATAGATATATGGAAGAATCCAATCTCTCATCCAAGCATATCCAAGGCAGTTGGTTGTGGTCATCATCTCAGATCATCTCAGGGTTGGGCTCGCTTCATCCTTCCCTTCCACACTTGTTCCTGCGGGATATGCATGATGTTGTTCTCGGCAGCCCATGAGAATCCCCAAAGTCACAACTGTCACAACTCAGAATTGTTGAACTCTTTCTCAGGTGCTGGCAAAGGTCGGAAATTCTTTCAGCACATTGGCTGCATTCCTGGTCAAGGTCATGGCTGCCATCTATGCTAGCCGGTTTGGGAATCCTCTCAAGCCATGTCTGGGTGCCGTCATGGAACCAGGGAGGTGGAGTAGGATGGATCAGTGGATGCTTCGGTTCTTTCAGGAGTTCGAAGGTCTTCTCCTCAGGATGTGCAAATTTTATCGATCATCGTCCCTCATCAAACGTTCTCTTCCAGTCTACGGGAAGGGCCGTGTAGGACAAGGCTCATCAACGCCGTATGCCACAGGATGCTGCTCTTGGCTTACTTTACCTTTCTGCCGAACGAGGTCAATGAAGAAGCCGCAAGCTGGGGGATGGACCTTTACAAGATCTGAAAGTGAATCATAGTGAAACAAAAGATTGCATCGGGTTCAATATGGTTCAGTTCAATCACCTAATATCACCTATAAAAACAAAGCAAACCGCAACAGTTGTGCCAAATCCAGCATCCGTTCCTGGCCTTGCATGAATTTGTCCACCCATTCCGGCTCAGCCTGCAGAAGCCTCTTGTATGCTTTCCTCGGTGGTATCAAAATCTGGGGAACTTAGATGAACAAGGCATGGTAAAAACTACAGATACTACAGTAAACATTGAGCCAGTCATGGACTATTTTCACTAGAACCAGTACATTCATTCCTCAGGTAATCATACAAGCTAGCAGCTGAAAACCTGTTACAAGGTTTAGAAAGGCTCTGAACATCAAGGAGTCCTTGCAAAAAAAAATCATGCAGTAATATTGTCTTGTAAATAGTTGAATCATATTGATTCTGGTTGTTTTCAGGCAAGAAGAAGCGCCTTGCTGTTGTCACCACACCAAACTGAGCATGTCCTCCAGCTGTATTCTACAGCCGAGTATCATGTCCAGCAGATCCATGCCAAGCATTTCCTGGGTCAAAACTTGCACCAGCTGAGTGAAGCTGGAAATCAAGCTTCGGATATCTTCGGATCCAGGATATGTTCATGCGAATCCCTCAGGGTTTGAGCTTTATTCTATTTGATCCTACATATTTTATTGATGTTTATTGTACTAGTGTCCACCAACATAATCAACGCCTCAACTTTTCTTGTGAACTGCAGATCCTGTGAAGTGATCATCAGTTCTGTGAAACCCGGAGTTGCTGGTCAATTCACCATCAACAACATCTATCATAGCAGAAACTAGCAAAAAGATCCAAAAAACTCACGGATCATCTGGGTGGTTGATGTTGGTCACCGTTGGTCGTTTCAGCGCATTGAAACACACCAATTCCATCGTGGAACGGACCTGCATCCAGGGAGCTGTGCCCATGCTCGCCAGGCCAAGAGCGTCGACATTTCCATCGAATGACTGGCACCCACTCAACAAAGGCAGCTTAAAAACACGGCAGATTCGCACATTTTCTCCAGGACAAAGAAAGAACATTGCCAGCATCTGCCAGCAAAGGTAGATCTTTGGACTGGACAACCACTCAGCACAGCACAGCTTTGAGGACCTCCATCCGCGCATCTTTCATCATAGCCTCCTGCTGTGAAGCTGGATACTGCCGAAGGTCGGGCAAACCTGGTGGCAGGAAAGAATCAGGATCAACCCTGCCCTGGCTGTTGTGAAGTCCATCAATCTTGGCGCAAAGATCAAAGCAAACCTTGCAAGAAAAGTCAAGAAAAGTCAAGAAACCTGGCAAATGGATGCAAATGGATGCAAATGGATGCAAATGGTAAGAAATAAAAAAGGAAGAATTGATGCATGATGGACCTTTCTGCCCTCCAGGGAGCTTGCAGGTCGAGGTAAATGTGGGTCCAGTGTAGCTGGCTCATCTTCTCCAAACCTGCTCATCACTGCTTCATTCTCCACTTGTACGGTTCACAAAAAAAAGTTTCCTCATGAATGGATTCTGATATGCAATCATCCCCAATATATCTCCAATATACAAAGGGTAGGTTGGTAGGTTCATAACTTACATAACCCATCATAACCCATCATAACCCATCATAACCCATCATAACCCATCATAACCCATCATAACCCATCATAACCCATCATAACCCATCACAACCCATCATATCATAACCCTCAAACGAATCATATCAACCAGCAGGGCCGTTGAATGCTGCTGTATCTGCGACATACCTGGCCTGTCCTCGAAGCGAGGAGTTGCATTCTCCAGGCCACGAGGCGTCAATGCCCTTGGGAAGCCTAGCAGCAGATGTTTTTTTTGATATTGATGAATGGTGGTGAATGACTGATTACATACAAATAATAATAATACAATTAATAAATACATTGAAATACCAGAAACATTCACAAGTAAGCCACTGGGGGAAAAGCGTATAGTATCACTCTATATCACTCTGGTTCGGGGGACCTGGAAATTTAGTTGTAGAGGAGTTGTGAGGTGTTGTGAGATGGTGTATTCCCGCTAAGTCTTCGAGGAATGTTCTTTGGGTGCGGGAACACTGGCACGAGTTGTCTCCTCTGGCTGCTTGGTCCCTGTTTGGGACTACCGTATCAAAACGAATAAAGGGTGCAAACCGTGGTAGAACAATTGTAGAACGGGGTCATAGACATAGATCAAACTGAACTGCGCAGGGCATACGATCATGAAACTGGGAAATGGCTTGCTTGGGCAACTTGGCTATAGCTCAGGTTTTGCACTTGCCCAGCTGCTTTGCTGCGATTGTTGTGAATGTGGGCTGAGAACATCTTTGTGCAAGTTCATTTCACAGCATGAAGACACAAATCATAACAGGACGCACAAAAGGCTGGCTTTGCTGTTGTGTTTTGGGGGATTTACCATCTCTCTCTCTCTCTCTCTCATGCCAAAGACTACAGCCAGATTATCCAAGATGAAATAGAAACAATGTGAAGTCAACACAACATGCGTATGCACAATGCACATGAAGGCCTTTCTGGGTGGAACGCCGCAAGGTGTGCTCTGCCAACCACTTCTCCTGGTCCCAGTCTGCATAGACCTTCTGATCAGCTTTGTTTCCTCGGACGTATTCAGCTTGCGAACCATTCATGCACCAACTCTCCCAAATCCAAGGCAAGGAGGTGAAATTTAGTCAAGACCTGGCCGGAAATGATTCGAAACAAACAAGTAAAGCGGGTCATAGGTTGGCCGCCTGAATACTGGCATCAAAAAACAAAATTGATCGAGCATCTGCGGTAGGTACCTCTTCTCGGCCATGGTGCCCCTGTTTGCTCCAAGTCGAAGCCTTTGTGGAAAGGACAACCATGGCGACTCGAATTGCATCTGTTCTTGGGTGGCGCACAAGATGGAAGATGGAAGATTCACCTCAAACAAACCTCTCAAGGATTCTAAGGTAGGCCAGGTAGGCTCATCCAGGTTGGACGCAGGCTGAAAGGTTCACATGCATCCTGGTGACCTGCTTGCCCATCTTCTGCCCAGTATTTGGAAACAGGAGAGCTGAGCTTGATAGGGAGCGTACACCTGAAGATGGCGTTCAACCCAGAAAGTCTTTTAACAGTTTAAACATCTTTTAATTATGTTTAAGAGATGGCAAGTCTTGTCTTCCGTTCAGAACCGTAGCCGTCAAAGCGATGAATTGTTGTAAAGTCCGTTCAGCATGATTGGCTCCACTTTTTTCCACATTGTCCTGGGCCGAGTCGCTTTTCATCGTCCCAGAATTGGCCCAGAAAATCTCCAGCAGCTGATTTTACAGCAGAAGCCAGACCACTCTTCCAGTCCAAAGGATCTTGCCTTGTACCCGAAACTCAGCAAGAAAACAGACTGCACATCGAAAATCTCACACCAGGCTATATGTGACCTATGGCATATGGCGTGCGCAGCATTTCGCCAGCAAATTGCAGAGCGAGTTGCGGTCCTTCCAACCATTCCCACCATAGCTTAGGTCGTCCCCAGTCTGCCTTCAAGAGGCCAGGCTCCTTCACACAACGCCCATTCCTTGTAGCATTTTGAAGCCGCAGAGAACTGATCAATTCAATGGTAAACCATGATAAATCAATGGTGGATATGGTGGATCAATGTTAAACCATGGTAAATAAATAGTAAACATTAGTAAACCATGGATTGACAAACCACGCTATGCATATCATGAGCAATACCTGCACGATCCTGCACGTTTACACTGATTTACCATGATGGTTTAACCGTCAAAAAGCCATTCCGTTGCCCAGCTTCCAGCCAGGTGGAGGTTGACCACTGTACGGAAAGATGGCCTTGCTACTCACAGCATCTGCTTTGCGTTGTTTCATTTGTTGTGGATTCCTTTTGAGTACTTTTGAAGTCTTTTTCCATTGTTGTGATACCTGCCAGAAAATACACGGACCAAAATTGGGCTCGTGACCACAAAAGCTGCTTGCAACATCTTGCAACCGTGCTGCCTCTCCTTCATCTCCTGTTCCAAGCTGCTTCCATTTCTGTCTCCACAATCGGCCTGGGAGACGTTGCAGCTCCTATGCCTTTGAGACCTGCCTCGATGGGCTGCGCACTGCTTGAAGTTTCACGGCAAGGTACGCTGTTCCCACCAAACAGCTGGGGGTGATGTCACATAGCTCTGCACCTGGTCCTCGGAAGCCATTGCCGTCCTTTGGGCTGGGAGGCGAGCTCTGACCGTTTACTGTAAACGAACTGAAAAGCCAGCCATGGCTAGTGAGCTACTTACACTCATCAAGAGTTCTCTGCAATCCTTTCAACATGCACTTGTCCCAGTATTGCCAGTTTCATCCACTCATGTGGGTCGAATTAATATTAAAGTATTTAACAGGGAAATTGAAACGGATGAAACAGGGATCCATTTTCCACAATCTGCTGGACATGCCCACATGTTCAGGTTCTTGAACCTTGCCAAGATACATCTGCAGGATATCCAGGCTTTGTTGGCCGATCCTGATCACAACATTCCGCAGCACCGCACATTCAGCACATTTGGGACATTTGGCTCGCATCAAGCTGGCATTCCTCATGGCTTTCCCCATGGTGTTCCCGCAATTCTCCAGCCAAGCCGCCCAGTAGTTCCAGTAGGACGGATCCTTCAAGTAAAGGTTGGACTCCTGGTGACATGAACGACATGAACATGTCGAGGCTGGTAGTGGATCAGGACCATGCAAAGTCTAGAAACAAAATGAAATAAAAATGAAATGAACACCTTAAGAATGTTCTAGAACACATGGCTTCTTTTGAAAACCTTAAGAATGGAACGGGATTGGCTAGAGACTGCCTGCAGAATCTGCGGAATCCCTGCCTTGTCGTAAATAATCCCTGGTGTTGGATATCTCTGCCTTAAGGATTCCGATGGTGGAAGCTTCACGATACATTCTCCAAGGAGTCGGCTACCAACTTGCCGACATCAACCCCTTTCAGATTTTCATACTGTGTGTTTGAAACACAACGCTCTTATCATCTCTTATCCCTCCATCTTCCATGGGGTGACTTCCTTGTGACAACATTTCTCACTTCCCCATGTTGCAGTTTTTTTCAAGCGAGATACGCCTCCTCTGTCTTGGCCTCAACGGGCAAAGGGGTTGGTCTGGGAGATGGTCATCCCACCGTAGGAATTCGAAGAGTTGAAGTTTTACACCAGTACCTGTACAATCCATTCTAGAAACATCTAGAAACTAAGTAAATATATGCAAATTAATATATTTAATGTTATTATTATATGATATAATATAATATAATTAATATGATATAATATATGATATATATAATAAGATATAATATGATATAATATGACATAATATGATATAATATGACATTGTATGATATAATATGTATGTGTGAATGTAGTATGACCTCACAGTATGCGTCTTATGAGAAGCATTGTGAAGCACTCAAAATTGTTTTGCTGTGTATGACTATCCCAGAGGAGCGAGACAACCGAGTTTGCGCTGCTCACATGTTTTGAGTGCGGCTGAGTAACCATCGCGGCCATTGCATTTGGAGCCTCAGCAAGAGCCGAGCGATCGCTGGCTGCTTAGTGTCCACTCCGTTGCAAGTCCGCGTCATCCGGCCCCATCATGCCATGAAAGTTTCCCTTGCCAAACAAAACTTCCAAGTACCGGGAAGGAGAAGGTGGATAAGACATGATAAGACTGGATAAGTGTGGTGTTTGAGGTGAAGTAATTACTTAGAGGATGCCGGCAGAATTGGCTTGCACCCACTATATTCCATCTTGTAGCTGCCACCATTGTTCTGAGCTCATGGCCATGGTGACAGCTTGGCGAAACCATCAGCATGGCATTGCGAAGAAGGGGAAAATAGAAACGAACCGCGCCAGTGACCAGTTCTGGAACACCTAACATCCATCACTGCATCACTTGTATGCATCGATCAATCTATAGTCAAATGACATTCCCATGTGATATATGCTGATACTGCTTGAATGTTGGTTGTCAAATGTTGTCAAGTAAAATGGCTAAATGTACGCAGCGTCTACATGAGATCTTGGAGGGAACTGCATGACTTTGGCTCGGATCAGACTGTGGACAAAGCCAGAATCTTTTTCTTGAACACTGGACTCCATGGACTTTGCAGTACTGAAGTTACTATATGGATATTGTTTGAACAGCCAGGATCCCATGGGCACAAGGACATAGTTGCCAAATAGTTGCTAGAACTGGGAACAACCACAGCTTAAAGTTCCAGATTCAGCTAGAGCCAGTGGTCTTGTCCACAATTCACCCACACTGCCCCGCCTGTTTTGAGAAGCATCTGGAGCTGACCTTAGAACTGCAGAAGACTTCTCCGGAGGACAACCGGAAGCTCATGAAGCTGCTCGGTTTGGCACATCGCTGCAATTCCCCTTGCCTCAGGCTGTGAAGCAGCCAGACATAGATCATGGCCATCATGGCCATCATGGACATCTGTGGCTCTGTCTGGTGGCCAGAGAAACTGGTACACTGTGTTTCTTTCAAAATTAGGCAGACACAACCTGCTCCAAGTCAATCCTGAGGGCATGAGCCCTAGACCTCAACATGCGGACCCGGTTGGAGAATCACCGAGCAGATCTCAGAAGAAAGGTCGATAATCACATCACAGAATCACATAATATATACAAATATATACAGTATAATCATGAACTAACTTTGCATAACAACTCTTGTTCAACTTCTTCACTGCCATTGAGTGCCATTGATCCTTTAGTCTTGGTTTCGGGCCGATGGGCCGAGGATGGCCGAGGCAGTCTGCTCTGTGGCTTTGTGAATTCCACCTGCAACGGTGGCGCCCCGCCATGGCTTGGGTGACCAGGGATGACCAGGGCGCCTCAAATGTTTCACCAAGTCGTCCATGTCTGCAGCCTGGCAACGCTTTGAAATCTGGCAAATGATAAATGTGTTTTTGATGCTTAAGCTATAATTTGGAATCAATAAATACATGTTACATAAGTTACATATACTAAAAGCAACAGAACTCAACTACACTGAATTGGCTTCATGTGGTTGCATCAATTTCACCACTCCCAACACATTGCCTTCTTCTTCAAGTGAATATCTTTCTCTTCGTGATCCTGCAGTGGCCCAGAGATGTCCAGAGTGACACCTGATGTGACTTACGGTGAAATCTGCGATGATGACGGACTCGCCCAGAAAGATTAGCAAGATCAGCAACACCTATAGTATCATTAAATCATAAAAAAAACACCCGTCTTTGTATGAGGTTCTCATTATCATTAGATATCACTGATATCACTATGCAATTACAGAGGTCTTAAATCCCGAATGCAGTAGTGCATGTGCCAAAGCAAAACTCATAGCCTCTTTTGACCTTAATGTCACAAGTAGTCGAGCAGGCCAGCCAGGGCCAGCAGTCGTCAGCAACTGTCTTTGGGTCTCGCAAAAAAGTGAACGGTTGAGGTCCCAAATCCGCAATGGTGAAGACAGAAGCTGAGGCACCAAATCAATACAGTCTGCAAACAAAAGTTTGGAAGAAATCCCAAAGTGCACGCAGACACTGAAACTTCCCAGTGTTCAAAAGAGGGAAGCTCTAAAAATCTGAATGCAGAAGGGCCAAGGCTTGCGATTTCTTTGTGCGCGTGTGTACTTAACCAGAGACATTTGTTAAAGTGAATTGTCTACAATAAACCAAAATTAAATCTACATCTTCTGGTGCTTCAGGGAGACAAAAGTTGTTCCACACGGCACCCGCCGTTTCCTAAGCTTCTGCAGATGACAGGGTATGGGCCTCCAGCCAACCCCAGTGCCCTAGCCAGGTGACAAGGTCAACTTCCATTAGAAATGGATTGGATTTCCACAGACTTCCACTAGAAAGATGACATTCTGGGACTCATGTTGACCAAAGTTGATACTGATGCTGACCAAAGATGGCCAAAGTCAGTGGGCAAGCCCCACATGTTCAGACTTTGGGCGTCATCGATTTCAATGCTTTCCATCCGCACGGAGCAGAGACTTCAGCGTCAACGGAGCCCCTTGCCCCGTTGACTGGGGCCATGGCAGCTTTCAGGAGAGTATGAAAGACGAAATACTACGAAGCATGCAAACAATGCAAAAAAAACAGCACTCAAATCGCAATCCAGCTACAATATCACCAGAACATCAGTAGTTTCGGACTGAGTCGTGATCCAGAACGAGTCTGATTTACATATTGATTTCGGGTCTCAAAATTCAAAAGATGTCTCCTGAGAGCCATGAATATCATGAATTATGAAACCTCGAAACCAACAGCCTCAGAATTCTCCAGCAGTGAAACATCAAGCCCAGGCAGGACTCCAAAGGCATCCTGACAAAACGTCCGTCAGCTGCTCGCGTTGCAGACCGTTGCTCGCGTTGCTCGTGTTGCTCGTGTTCTACTGGTAACACTGTTTACAAGGAAACTGAATGAGGATGAATGAGGTGTCATTAAGTGACATAGCTGATCATAGCTGCATATCGCCAGTGCATCAATCATATTCTCTGCGGAAATCTTCGCAGGATCTTTCATCTCAGATATCTCAGTCGCCAGCGTCTTTTCTATCTTTTCCGGGTACCAAACACACCCGACCTGCGGTCCAAGCTTGAAGCTCTGCCAGCCGTACGTCAGAGCATTGATCCAGCCATTGCTGTCAAGGCACCTGAAGTCTTGCGACAAAATCAACTGTCTGTACTTCTGAGATCTTCTGAGCTTGAAAACAGAGCTTGAATGGACGACAATGGTGACCATTGTCACATTTTGTCACAGCCTTCAATACTTCTTCATTTTCAGCATGGCTCAGCGGCTCAGAAAGTTCGCTGGGTCTCTGACACAGCAGCTACCCAATGGTGCAATCCATATCCCGAGTCCTGCAGAAGTGGAGCTCGTCTGGCTCTAGTGATAACGTTGCCAAGGTTGCGCGAAGTAGATCGGTGGAACATTTATCCTTTCATCTCCTATCTCCGCTTGCTCAAATGAGTTTCATACTGTTTCACACCATTTGCGTTTGAGTTTTATTTTTTATCCTATGTTTGAGCTTCGTTTTCCTTATGTTTTCCTTGTTCAAGCGCTTCTGCAAATACGTGCAAATACAACAGCTTGCAGCTTGAGACTGGCTCCTAAGTCCACGAATACTGAAACTACTGTGCTACATGCTTGGGACTATCAAACTGGTGGCATCGAAAGGAGCAGAGTGCCTCTGTCGAATGGTGGGCGTACACAGGAGATACATGGAGATACCTATTATTGATGCGGTCACAGCAAGGGAAACATGGGAAACACTGACCACAGACCATAGTGAAATCGCTGGCTCCTTGAAGTATGACTTGTGGATGAACCAAGTTGGAAAAACCTGAAGCATCCCCAGCCCCGTTGACCAAACAATCAGGTCTGCAGGATCAAAATCATGGTATCACCGATCTATCATGATATATCCACTGGCTTCCAACAGCTCCGTCTCTGTGTGCGATGCTGGACGGGATCGGCCAAGAAACCGTAATTGTGAAGTTTAGTGGGTATAGCAACGCCTGAAAAGAGGTCTGCCATACGACATTGGTGGCACATCTCATTCTCGTCACTTGCACCACAGCCAAAAGATACCTCAAGAAAGGGAGGCATCGTGACTAGCGGAAAATACTTGAATGACAATTCCAAAATGAAACAGCTGGTGCAACCTTGACTCTTTTTGTTGACTCATGTCAGCTCTTGTTATGCCAAAGCGCAGCGTAAATGTGGTGATGAAGCATGCTGCCATCACTGAAGCGACAACCTGAAACTCATCCACCCATTCAAAGCCATGACGGGTGAAGCACTGAGAGTTTCAAATTGCATCGAAGTGATCAAACGAGTGAAGTGTATTGAAGTAAGCCTCTCAGGAGCTCCTTCCTATGAGTTCAGTGACACTCTCTTGTCCATCGGGAGTCCACACACCCTGAGATTGTTAGTGCGGGCAAAGATGGCAAAGACATTCACCGTCCAACCGACAGCACACAGCATGGGCCATAATTCTCCAATTCATCCAATTCCCACTTCTAGTAGACATTAGTAGACCATGTCTGGGATTTTCTAAAAGCAACTGGAGCTGAACCGGTGATTTGCCCGGAGCTGAGGACTGTCCTCAGCTGGCGCAGTGCTGAACAATTGCTGTGACCTGCTTAGCAAGGCTCCTTTGTATTCAACATTTTTCAACCAAGATGCCTAAGGGCCTAAATCATCCAAAGTATCGAGTTTTTGGAGCTGCAGCTTCCCTTTACACACAGGACGTCCCATCCCTGAAATGCCATGTGTTTCTGATGTTTCTGGCTTCCCATCCGTCAAGCATCGTATGCTGCTTCAGAGTTGAATAGTCCAATACCACCAAGAAAGCAGAAACAATCCAGCTGTAGGGAAGTACCTTGGTTATCCAAGATTTGGTGGCACAGGTGCGGCCTTCCAAGAATGGCTTCAGAAAGTTCAGATCCTCGAGCGAAGAAAATTGCAGTCACGTCAAACAAATGAAAACTGGTTTTTGGCCAACTTGGCCAGGAATGCAGCCTGCGGGCTTTGCCCAATTTAGTGGCAACGCTGAAGTTTCGATAACTGGCCGTAGCCACCGTGGCCGCAATCTGCACCTCTACCAAGCCTCGTCTGAAGATGACAAGTTGTTCCAACGTCTCAGATTGTGACATCCAATGCAGTTTCACCTGTAAAATATGGGAAAATAAGAAGATTCGGGGCAAAAGAACTGCGAATCTTATTTCATGATATTTCATGTTCATTTGTTCATTGCAACTCTGACGCATTGCATCTCGACGCTCCAGCTACTGGATGTTACTGGTAAGTTTACGCTGCGGAAATCAAAGCTGAAAAGGTGACAGATGGTGACAGCCAAGATTCATAAGGTGATAAGGCAAAAGTGGATGGCGGCGCGAACGTGGTAGGCCTGATCTCGGCTCCAGTTCAGTGGGTCGTTTAGACTTGGGTCCACAGAGTCCAAGAATTTCATCTATGGCTGGGTGCTTAGGCACAAACTGCAGTTGAAGCAGGTGACATTGTTCCACTTTTTTTGTGACTTGTTCATACTTTTTCAATATTTTTGCTGGCACTGCGGCACTTCAATACATTCCTTAATGCTTGTGGCTTCTCCGATCTGAATATGTCTGCATGTAGAACTTGGCCAAGTTGCAACTTCTAAGGATGGCGGATTTATGAAGATGAAATCATGGGGAATCCTCAGAGCACACGCAGACAATCTGTAAATTCCGACTTCAACCAGACATCTCTTGTCAATCATCAGGTTATATCAGGTTATATCAGGTTGTCAATCATTCAAAATTGATGTGTTCAGCTTGGGAACTCAGAAAACAAGAGCTGGATGAGAGCGTGGACCTCAGGCCGGTTGCAGTGTTGACTCGTTCTGTATTTGTCTTGCACATTCTTGCACTGCAATGATCACGATGACTTCAACATGCACTAAGCATCTTACGCAATCTGCCACACCCAAATGCCAAAGCCTGAACAACGGGGACACAAAGAAGGTATGAGAATCATGTGCCCTTCTGCAAACAGAGAGCAAGGAGCTGATGAAGCGAAATTTATATGGGATGAAGATGATGAAGATGGATAAAGTTCATCCAATAAATCTTAGATGTTGCAGCCGGTCCTACAAAACTGCCCCTGCTATGAATTTCGACCTATCTAGATTAGATTGGATTAGCTTGTATTATTTTGTATTCGTTCATAGAATATTACAGAGTAATCTCTTTGCTGTGGCACGAAACCTTTCGCAAGAAAGGACTTCCGGGGATCTGACTGTCGGCTAGATAACAGCGCAGACACTGGCGAGCAAACTTTCACCAGCCAAATGCTGCTAAGCACACTGGCCTCAGCTCTGGCAAAACCATCAACTTCCCTACCGCACAAAGTAGCTTCGGAGACTTCATCTATGTTGGCGGAGACATATTTTATCATATTTTGACATGGTTTCACATTGACATACAGTTCGGAAACTCGGAAATACTGGGAAGTTTATCAGTCCCAAATGTCGTGTCTTTTGAATTCAATTGACCAGCTGGACTAGCTTTGGAGCGGAGGCAAAAACTCACTTGTTGGAAAAAAAAAAGCCTGCGGGTTCAAGCTCATTCAGTGAGACACTGCTTGCACCTGTTTGCCAGAAAATTGTAGGCAAATCGCTTTTGCAACTTGCAGCTTAGCCGCGATTAAGGCGACGAATTCGACCCAAGGTCCAGGTGACCAGAGGTCCGTCATGGGGCATGGAGCCGGGTACATGGTGACATTCGACAAATCCTAGCGAAGCATAGCTAAGTAGTGACCAAGTAGTGTCATTTGTGTTGCTACAATTTTGCTGCGAGCTGATTTGGATTCACTTTCTTTGTTGAAAGTTGATGGACTGTGTGGTAATTACATGCATCATTGGATGGCCGGAACCAGGACCTGTTGCAAGATTAATATAGCGCAACCGCTTATCTACGTTTTTCCATGTCTGGCTCTGTCATTGATCGTCCACAGCTTCAGTTTAGCAACCACGCACGTTTGCACTTCCAACACATCCTTCTTCCTCCATGGTGGAACACAATGAGGGAAAGAGGCACACCACAGGAACTCTAATGCATCTCGAATCACAAGAAGGGCAGAATACAGAACCGGAGCAGGACAGACTCAGAGACCATCAACACTGTGGTGACCTGTGCAAACAGCAAACTATTGCCCGGCCTTGTGGTGCTGAGTGAGTCAGGGTATACTCAAGGCTTTCAACTTCCTCCTGCCTGGAATCAACACTTGTCCCCCATTGATCATCATAGGACACTGAGTGGTCCGTATTCTATCTCAAGTGTGGCAATGTCTTGGTTCCGGACAAATCGCGTTGCATCTCGAAGCCGCTGGCAGATTGCTCCTCCAATTCCTGATGGATCAAAAGGAACTGTTGGATCTGGCATAATCTGGCCACTGAATCTCAACACTTTGAAGGGCCCTTTTGGTGAGATGCGATAAACGAGATCCAACAGAAGGCTCTGGCACGAGACTCGCGTCGTGAGACTGCCAATGACAGCGCTTCCCTTTGCAAAGGCCTCAGAGGCTGGAACAGCCCAGAGTACAGCATCCAAATAAAGGAAGGGTGAAGACTTTGGAAATGCATGTGACGTTTTTTTTCCCTTTTTCGTAGCTTCCGCGATTGAGAATCTGTATCCTCTCCACTTCTTTCCAAGCTTGTTGCAGTAGCACATTTCAATGCCAGTCCTCAGCCATGGGACACCTCCCCATTCGGTCTGAGCATCCAAACTCTTCGCAATTTGCCCAGGCTGCTACAGCCTGCCGTGAAGATCATCAAGATATCAAGAAGTGACAATAGTGACATGCAACATCATCTAAACTCATCTAACTGCAAATCTTGACATGTGCTTCAGATTGCTTCAACGGTCTCTGCCTTTTTTATTTAAGGTACATTTCGAGGGCTGCGACCTCAGCATATTCAGCATGCAAAAAAATCAAGAAAACGATACCACCTCTTTCAGAGCATCAGTCAAATCTGTTTCTCAAATGGTGAGTTTGCTGACCGTTTGCTGACCGTTTGCTGACCGTTTGCTGACGGTTTGCTGACGGTGCCATGCATGCCGGCCGCATGGTGAGTGCTTTGAAAGCATTTGCCTGGGCATACTCTTCCTTTTACCACTAGACTTCCTTCCAGCACTTTATCGAATTACTATATCGCGGAACATCTTCAGCATTTTTTTCCACAGTGAAGGAACTGGACTTCCTGCACCTGTCCAGGTGTCTGGCATTCTCCTCTATCGCTCCATGCAGGAAAGCCCTCAAATCATCAGCGATGGTGAAAACAATCTTTGCACACTGAAAGGGCTCACACTTCAAGTGGAGTTGAGATTTAAATATGTTTTGAGTTCAAACAATTATCCAAATATATCCAAATGTCGGACTGTTTGAAGGGCAGTGCACTACAGCTAATCACCAGAAAGACTTTAAGGAAAACGGCACTCAAACCTGCAATAATGCAGCGTTGGTGTGAGACTCATTTGATTGGTTCAGCCTACATAGCAACTACATGCAACTACCCAGTAACTACCAACAAGCTCTCGTAATTGGGTCAACGTAAAACTGGCTGAAGACCTGCGAGTCGGTGTGGTGTCTGTGCCTGGAATGCATGTTCGAACTATGTCCTCTATGTTTGCGCAAGGAACTCTGACAGCACTTGTTCCCTCAAGATCTTGGACTCTTCGTGCCTTGGGTTCATATTTCTGCAAGGATGCATTGCATGCGTTGCATACAAAAGATTTTTGGGACATAAAAATTTGCACTGGGCTCTCGGCGCTTCCTCCGCTTCGTATTCGAAACGCAAGGGCCTACAAAAACATTTGGTTCCTGTAAAGTTTTGTTTTTTGCCACGCAACGAGAACAGAATAGACGCCTCTTCTTGTTGCAAAGCTTCCAACAAAGACCTTGCAGGCCAGGTTTCCACCCGACAGTAAATCGAGTAAATCAAACCACTTTCCACATGACATAGTCTAACGGAGTCTAACGTTTGAAAAAAATGCAGAAAGTAACAGCATTGCATACCCCAAACCTATCTAGTGAAATTCACTTTATCATCACAACGAAGTAGGGCGCTTGGCCTATAGGAGCGCGCAACTGCCATCAGCTACCATGTCGCGAGGGTGAAGAAGAAAACTGTGACAGCAACATATAGCAAGATATAGCAAGGGAAATGTTCAAAATGTTGTTGCCCAGAAAAATGTCGTTGCCGTCACGAATGAGGAACTCCAGCTTCAGTGGAGCCAGACTGCATGAGTTGTTGTCATCATTTTTGATTGAGTTGTGAGAATTTGTGTTTCAAGGATCCTGGTAGCAATTGATATTTTAGTAGTAACTGCTATTTTGGTTTCGTGATGGAAAATGTAGCAGCATTTAATATCATTTAATGATTTTGGCATGGAGGAATGCTTAAGTCACATCTTAAAATCTAGAATCCTGCGACTGGTGCGCTTTGTTGCACACGCCCCGATCCATGCGCTCAACAATTCTTTGCCTGAGGGCCAGAAGCAGTTTCGAAACACCAGATCACGTTCGCCACGAACTACTTTGCATTCGTTTCAGTCAGCTAACCATGCGATTCGCAACCTAATGGGAAAATATCATTGCACTGAAAAGCACTGATTACATCACCTGAGAAGGAAGGAGCAAAAGCCAGCCCGCGCACACAATAAAGCCATGAGCAGAATCGCAGTATCACCCAATAGTCTGTCTTCTTCACAAGACCAACTTCTTCCCGCCACCTTGAGATGCAGTTTGCAGTGTCATGTACGACCGCGATCGTCTCAAGTTCCACGATCGCTTCTGTCACGGGTGCTTGCCTCGAATCTGCGTCGTTTCATGACATGGTTGGAGTTGTGCTTTTTGGAGTGGTTGCAGTGGCCAATAGTGGTCACCTCACCCACAACTGCTGGATGTAGTGTAGGTGGTAGTGTAGGTAGTTGTGTAGGTAGTTGTGTAGGTAGTTGTGTTGGTAGTAGTGCAAGCAATAGTGTAGGTAGTATTGTAGGCAGTAGTGTAGGTACTAGTGTTGGTAGTAGTGCAGGTCATAGTGTAGGTAGTAGTGTAGGCAGTAGTGTAGGTAGTAGTGTAGGTAGCAGTGAAGGTAGTAGTGTTGGTAGTAGTGCAGGTAATAGTGTAGGTAGTAGTGTAGGCAGTAGTGTAGGTAGTAGTGTAGGTAGTAGTATGGGTAGTAGTGTAGGTAGTAGTGTAGGTAGTAGTGTAGGTAGTGTAGGTAGTCGTGTGTAGGTAGTCGCGTAGTTGTAGTTGCACTTGCAGCTGCAGTTGTAGTAGTAGTTGTTGTTGTTGCTGTTGTTGTTGTGGTAGTGATAGTGATAGTGATGCTGGTAGTGATAGTGGAAGTGGTAGTGTAGTGTAGCGTAGTGTAGCGTAGTGCAGCGGAGTGTAGCGTAGTGCAGCGTAGTGTAACTGTAGTTGTACATGTTGCAGCTGCAATTGTAATTGTAATTGTAGTTGTGGTGTAGGGCAGCTGTACCGTAATGTAGTGTAATGTAGTGTAGTGGTAGATTTAGCTGTAGCTGTAGCTGTAGCTGTAGTAGTTGTAGTGCAGTGTGGTGCAGTGTAGTGCAGTGTAGTGCAGTGCAGTGTAGTGCAGTGTAGTGCAGTGTAGTGCAGTGTAGTGCAGTGTAGCGCAATGTAGTGTAGTGCAGTGTCGTGCAGTGTGGTGAATTGTAGCGCAGTGTAGCGCAGTGTAGCGCGGTGTAGTGTAGTTGCAGCTGCAGCTGCAGCTGCAGTTGCAGTTGAATGTAGTTGGAAGTGTAAGCGCATTTGTAAGTGTAGTTGCAAGTGTAGTTGTAAGTGTAGTTGTAAGTGTAGTTGCAAATGTAGTTGTAAGTGTAGCTGTAAGCGCAGTTGCAAGCGCAGTTGCAAGTGTAGTTGCAAGTGTAGTTGTAAGTGTAGTTGTAGTTGCAGTTGTTGTTTGTAGTTGTAGTTGTGTTGTGTAGTGTTGTGGTGGTTGTAGTTGTAGTTCCAGCTGTGGCCCTTGTTGTTGTAGCTGTAGTTGTAGGTGAAGTTGTTGCTGTAATAGTTGTAGTTGTACTTGCAGTTGCAGTTCTAGCTGTAGTTGTAGTTGTAGTGTAGCGCAGTGGTAGTTGTAGTTTTAGTTGTGGTTGAAGTGTAGCGCAATGGTAGCTGCAGTTGCAGCTGTAGCGTAGTTGCAGGTGCAGTTGTAGCTGTAGTTGTAGTAGTTGTGGTTGCGGTTGTGAGTGTAGTTGCAGTTGTAGATAGTTGTAGAGTAGTGTAGTGTACTGTTGTGTGTTGTGTGTGTTGCGTGTTGTGTGTTGTGCTGCGTTGTGTTGTGTGTGTGGTGTGTTGTGTGTTGCGCTGCGTTGCGTTGCGTTGCATTGCGTTGGGTTGTGTTGTGTTGTGATGTGTAGTTGTGAAACTGTGAAACTGTGTAACTGTGTATTTGTGCAACTGTGTAACTGTGTACTGTGTAACCGTGTAACTGTGTAGTTGTGCAACTGTGTAATTGTGGAACTGTGTAGTTGTGTAGCTGTGTAACTGTGTACCTGTGTAGTTGTGTAGCTGTGTGGTTGTGTAGTTGTCTGGTTGTGTAGCTGTGTCGTTGTGTAGTCGTAGTGTAGTCGTAGTGTAGTCGTAGTGTAGTGTGGTGGGGTTGAACGTGCAAAATTGGTCCATACGTGGTGTGCTTTGCGCATTTTGACTTCGGAATGTGCTTCGCGCCACAACGCTGTACACTTTTTCAACATCCCAACTTCCAAAAATGGTCCGAGACCGTCAGTTTTTAGCACATTTGACTTCGAAACGCGCGTCGCGCCACAAAGCCGTGCACGTTTTTCAACATCCCATTTTCCGAAAATGGTCCGAGACCGTCGGTTTTTAACACTTTTGACTTCGAAACGCGCTTTGCGCCACAATGGCATGGTGTGCTTTGCACATTTTGACTTCGATATGTGCTTCGTGCCACAGCTGCGTGCACTTTTTCCACATCTCAACTTCCAAACATGCTCCGAACGTGGTGCTTTGCGCATTTTGACTTCGAAATGTGCTTCGCGCCACTGCTGCGTGCACTTTTTGAGCAGCTCAACTTCAAAAAGCGCTCCGAGAATGGTTTACGTTTTGACTTCGAAACGCGCTTCGCGCCACAACGGCGTGCACTTTTCCAACGGCTCAATTGCCAAATGTGCTCCGAACCTGAAGCATTATTAACATATTCATTGCCACATGTGCTTTGCGCCACAAAGGGCGTGCAATTTTTCGTCTCTTATCTCACCAGATGGCTCCGCACCCGCCGCTTTAGTGATCCTACTTTTCGACCCTCCGGAGCCCCAAAACATTGGAAAA